CTCACATGAATGTTGCTAAAAAAATGTTACGTAACCTTAAATGTACTATTAATTTTATGTTATTTTATTCATCATCTAATGATTGCATACTTGTGGGATTTTCTGATAGTGATTTTGGTAGAGATGTTGATGATAGAAAAACTATAACTAGTTTTGTTTTTTTTGTGGGTGATAGTGCAGCTATATGAAGTTCTAAGAAACAAGTCGTGGTTACATTGTCAACTTGTGAATCTGAATATGTTGCAGCAACTTCTTGCACTTGTCATGCCATATACCTTAGAAGGTTGTTAAAAGAACTTCATTGGACGCAAGATGAAGTTCCCTTTCATGAACGAAGTAAACACATAGATACAAGGTACCCTTTCATTAGAGATTGCATTGTTAAAGAAGAAGTTGAGCTCAAGTACGTAAAGACTCAAGATCAAGTTGCAGATATTTTCACCAAACCATTCAAATTTAAAGTTTTCAAAGACCATATGCTAATCTTGGACTCGAAAAGAAATTCACAAATTAAAGGAGAGTGTTAGAAATAATAATTTACAAATTAACGAGATTCTTTATCTTGTTAAGAAATTAAAAGTAATGATTTACAAATTAAGAGGACTCTTTATCTTACAAGAAGTTAAAATTATAAATATGTGTATTTTGAGTTTGCTTAAATAGTTTCTTAGACTTTATTATGATCATGAATTAAATTTGATAATTATACATGTATTTGGAATTCTAAGAGTTGTGTTAGTATCTATACATACCCATGTACTTAAAAGTTTTTTCTAACAATTACAAATAAAAACTTAAGTTTTTCTATTAGTATCTTATTCTTTTTCCTCCCATTTTCAGCAAAGTATTATTTTGAGTTAGGGTATCTTGTAAAATTTTTTCTAACACAATCAACTATTAGCAACACAATTTCTCTGATTGTATAGGCTTTCCTTTAGACATCAAGCTCAATCTCACAATTTTTGATACTCACCCAGGACATAAGTTCATGGAATTCCTACTTCTCACTTAATCTCTCGGATAGGGAGATTTTGGACATGTCAGCCTTATTGGATCCTTCGGCCTCTATCAGACCATCCTCACAACGTGATATTAAACGCTGGAACTTGGAATCTTCTAGCATTTTTTCATGTAAATCCCTTCTTGACTATCTCACCAAACACTTTGTAGCCCCTCAAATAACCCTTCCTTGACACATCCAATACGTTACTTGCTTTTACTTGTCAAATCATATTGCCAAGGATTTCTGGAAGGCTCCTGTTCCTTTCAAGGTGAAGCTCTTTGTTCGGACTACTATTCACCAAAAACTGAACACAAATGACCTGCTTCAAGTTCGCTGTCCTCATTGGGCTCCATGATGTTTGTGTTGTATGTTTTAAAGGTGGTGAAACTCATGAACATCTGTTTCTCCACTATGAGGTTTCTTGGAAACTATGGACAAATGTTTTCAGGTTGTTTGGTTTGGTCTAGTTGTTGCCCTCTTCAGTGGGAAGCTTCCTCTCTACTCATTTAGGTCGGCACAGCCTGAGGAAGGATTCTAAGCCCTTATGGGAGGGAGTTGTACTTGCTGGTCTATGCTATATTTGGCTTGTTCGTCACTCAAGGGTATTTAATAGTAGGAGCACTCCATTCTCTGAGTTGTGGGATAGGATGATTTTTTTGACCTCCCTATGGACTTAACGACACAGATGTTACCAGGATTTTACCATCTCCTATCTTCAACACGGATGGTCATCAGCATTTTGTGTTGGTGGTTTCTGTTACCTGTGGGGTCTCCATTTTTTTTCGCCATTTTTTAGGGAGGATGTCCCATCTCTTAATTTGTGCATTCTTTTCTTCATTTTAATAAATTCTTTTTTATTAAAAAAAAAAGATCTGGGAATTCACTTTATAAAGCATGATAAAGTGAATTGTCTAGACATATAATGTTTAAATTTTACAATCCCACCGTGTTTCATCCCCTTGGGGCCAAGGCATATGGACAATTTTCTATAAAAACACATAAAAATAACTAAAACTTGTAGTGTCAAAGTATAATTTTTCACACATGTGTTCATCGTATAAACCTAAGTCAAAAGAATACTTTAAATAACTACTATGATTAGGTTCTTACTTGACACACGGTAAAGACTCAATTGAAGAGTATGATATTTGAGTCAGTGTAATGGGTTTATTTGTATGATGAATACCTAGACAATTGCCATAGTGTCCACTTAATTAATATTTGGAATTAAGCACATACTCGTGTTACAACATTTATTAGTCTGTTCAAATCCAATAATGTCCATGTCATATTAATCTGTAATTTGGGATATTTATGAATTATATCTTATTATTATGATCTTATCACAATTATAATGACATTCCATAGTTCAAAGAACATGTATCGTATGTACATGTCATTTTCATTTTGAGAAAAGTATGATTAAAATATGTTTGATGTCCAACCGTATCATATATATATATATTTTTTAATAAAAGTATAGAAATGTATTGTTCACATTGGTAATGGGGGGGTATAACCCGTATACATATTATTTACAAGCCAATAAGGTGATTAATGACATTTCTAAAATCATTTATCCTATTAATGTCATGACCTAAAAGTATAAAACAAAAAACGTGTATCCATCTATCTCTAGTATTACACATCTTCCTTTCAATACCCCCAAAAGTTTTAACATTCCTCTTTTCATATAAGCCCGCCCAAGCACAACTCATCCCTAATCGACCCCGCCATTACCCAATTAATTCCCAAAAAACTATACACTATGGTCAAATGTTAAAAACTATAGGGCACCAAAGAAGGATGTGATTGCAAGATTTCCAACAAAGAAAGTAACTTTAGGAGGGGATTTCGTCTTCCAGATCTGTTTTTCGGGGAAAAGAACACGCTCATTGCCATCCCCACAAGTTAAGTGCTTGTAGAAATTCTTAACCGAAAAAATTCCATTTTTACTTAATTTCCACATCAGCTGATCATTACAATTCTCAAGTGGGATCTGTGATAGAATAAGCAATAGGTTTTCATATTCCTCGACCTCCCAGTCTTTCAAGTTTCTGATTACATTCATGGACCATTCCCTCCTACACTCACCTTCTCATAAGCCTCCTCCACCACCATATTTCTAGAAGTAGCAATGGCAAAAATATTCGGGACTTGATCCTTTAACTTACCCACACCAACCCAATCATCCAACTAAATTCGAGTTTTGTCACCCTTTCCCATCTTCCATTTTGTACAATCAAAAAATTTTTGGCTCCCCATGGTGATTTTTTTCCATAAGCTCATACCATGCGGTATGTACACATTTTTGAGTTCCCGCTGCCCATTCACAGTCTCCCTTCTGCTCTATTAAATCTTCACAGCCATTTTCCTTGAAGAGCAGTGTTCATCTCAACAACTGACCTCACCCCAAGATCACTGTATCATATAATGTTAAGTGAAACGTCTTCGAATAAGATTATAGTAAGAGTGATCCCACCATATTTACTGTAATTGCCTTGTGGGGCAACTGTCATTAATAGTGGAAATGGTAGTTGGTGAAAAATCTCCCATG